GGTTGTTAGTGATTAATTCAGTTGTGGATCAAAATTTAGATTTAGTTATTTTACTATTAGATTTATATTTATGTATAATAGGTTAGATTTAATGGCTTTGTCTTTTCTTTTTTCTAAGAATGATTTTAAGAATTCTAGGGTTCGTAGGCCTTCTCGTGTTTTGCTTGCTTTGCAGTTTAGGCCTGGGGCTCCTGAGTCTCATGAGTTGTATTTGAAAATGCTTAGGAGGTTGAAGTTTAAGTTTTTTTTGGCTAGCTCTCTTAAGGCTAAGAAGTCTAGGAGGAAGAGGTTTAAGTTGAGGAGGTCTGCTCGTTATTTTATTTTTAGGATGAGGAGGTCGGTTAGGAGGCTTAAGCCGTATAAGTTGTCTGTTAAGTTTAAGCCTGTTAGGAGGTCTATGTGGACTGTGGTGGCTTCTTGTAATAAGTTGTTGGCTAGGCCTGTGTTGGCTTTTAAGTTTGTGTTTAATAAGTTGATGGGTTTGGTTTTAGGTCGTTCTGAGACTAACTTTTCTAGGCCTCCTAGAAAAAACTTAAGTTTGAGGGTGAAGAGTAGGAAGGTTAAGTCTATTAGGGTGATTAAGAGGTTTAAGAGGTTTTTAACTCGTAGGAATATTGACTATGTTAAGCCTTCACGATTGGCTGAGGGTTTTAAGCATTTATCTCTTAGAAGTGTTAAAGTAGGTAAAAAAAAAAGTATTAGAAGGATTAGGGGTATTAAAAGGTGGTTTATATGGGCTATTTTTTCTCCTGCATTAATGATTAGGTTGTCTACAGGGAAAAATATTATTAATGGGGATTTAAGTTATAAGTATAGGCAGTCTTATAAAACAGTTATGACTTCTAATACGGGGTATGAGAGGTTTCATGCAGGTAAGAATGGTAGAAGGAGGATTACTTTAGGTAAGTATCTTGTAAGAGAGATGTATAGATTGACAAAAATGTATAAAGCTCGTTTTATTGGGATTTTGGGGGCTTGTCACAAGTCTATATTAAGATTTGCTAGAAAAAATTTTTGGAAGTTTAAAAAGAGGAAAAAAAGGTATTTTATGTTCTGTATGGACGAAATTGAATCTCATAATGGGTGTCAATTTAGAAAAGAAAGAAAAAAGAAAAAATTAAGAAGAAAGAAGTTATACTCAGAATTATGATTACATTCTTAACTAATTTAAAAATAGCTGATAATACAGGAGTATTAAATGTACAATGTATTAAAGTATTGGGTGGTCATAAGATGAGAGTGGCTATATCAGGGAAGCCTATTGTTACAGCTTTAAAAAAAGTTAGACCTAGAAAAAAATTTAAGAAGGGTGAGGTAGCCAAAGTGTTAGTTCTATCTACAAAAAATAGATTTAGAAGAAATTCTGGCTTTATTATAAATAGTAATAAAAATACTGGGTTAATATTAAATGATGGTTTTGCACCTGTAGCTAATAGAGTTACAGGGGCAGTTCCGCATGAAGTTAGGGCTAAATATAATAGGGGTTATTTACTTACAAGAAAAAACTATTAATGAAGCATCTAAGTTATAATTTTTATAATCTAAAGGAATATAGTGCTCAGCCTTTAAAAAAAATAGTATTAAACTCTTCTTTCAGAACTATTAATGAAAGAAAAAAAATGAATATTATTTCACTATATCAAGTGTATAGTTTATTAAATCCAAAATTTAATAAAGCTAAGGGTTCTATTTCTAACTTTAAGTTAAGAAAGGGTTCTGTTGTGGGGGTTTATATTACATTAAGCTCTACAGACAGTATAAATAATTTTTTAGTTAAATTAATTCAATTGAAAACTCCTAATATAGATTTAAATCCTATTTCTATAGAATCATTTGATAAATATGGAAATGTATCTAGAGGATTTAAAAATATTAAAGAATCTCCTGAGTTTACTGAATTATATGATACAGTTAATTATAATATTGGATACAATGTTAATTTTGTATTCACGAAGTGTGAGAGCTTAGCAGAGAATGTTTTTAAATTATCGTCTTTAAAACTTCCGTTACGTGACTAATAAAAAAACATTAGTAGATTTTGCTAGAAGAAAGCTTCATTTGTTAAATAAGCATGAGATTTTAAAAATAAAATTTATTAGGGATAATAAATTTATACAAAATGAAGAGTATACTAACACATTTTCTAATAAAATTCATAATTTTCATAATAATTGTCATTCATCTAGAATTATGAATAGATGTATATTTACTGGTAGGGCCAGGGCAGTAATTAGACTTGCTAGAATTAATAGAATATCTTTTAAAGATGCAGCAGAGAGAGGTAAATTGGTGGGTATAAAAAAAAGATCATGGTAAACTATTCTTATAAATTAGAGGTTCCAGAATCAGTTTCTTTTAAACTACAAGAAGGCTATGTGTTTATATTTACTAAAAAATATACTAAAAAATTGAAATTACCTAATACTATTCATACATTTGAAGTAAAAGATGGCCAATTATTTATTGAGGGAAGTAATAAATCTCAAGTTAATACTATTTACTCAATTATAGATAGTTTATTTACAACTATTACTGCGCCATGTAAAGTTGTGGTTACATCAAGTGCAATGGGTACTAAATTTCAAGAATATGAAGGAAAGTTTTATGTTAAAGCAGGTCATAGTCATTTTATAGAGTTACCTTCATCAAATCTGTGTGAGTATTTAATATTGAATCAAAGTTCTATAATGGTATCTTCTCATATAAAACAAGAAGCTACTAATTTAGCAGCTAGAATATGCAATATTAAGAGACCAGATGTATATAAAGCTAAGGGATTGTACATAGAGGGTTTAGAGCCAAAAGTTACTAAATCAGTAAAAAAATAAATGAGAGTAGAATACACGCATTTACTTGGCTATAGATATAGGATTAAAGAAGTAATATTAAAAAATTCTACTTTAGATCCAGAGTTTTTTATATTTTTAGAGTTGATTATAAAAATACAAATGGCTTTATTCTTCTGTACTGTAATTGCTATTATGTATACTATATTTAAATATTCTAGATTTGGTGTAAAAATTAGATCATTATACTCATTAGATCTAGTTTATGATGAAAAGATGTTTCCAGTTAGACAAGGAGTAGCCATGCTGCTGCTATACTACTATTTAGTTGCATATAGCATTTTATATCCAAGATTATTTGTTGTTGGGGCTTATAGACCCACTGAAGCTACGGTAAAAGAGCTTATAGCTTGGTCTATAAACTCTTTAAAATATATATATAACACATACATATCAATATGGTAGATAAACTAAATAATTTTCGTATTAAAAGTTTATTTAAATATACTGGAGCATTTATTGTATCTAGTATAGTAGCATACATATTTCAATTAATCTGGACATTAGATAAATCTATAAATGCTTACTTAGCAGTAATCATTTTTATAATTACTTTATATATATACTTTTATATAGTTGACATAGTAATACATATAAAAAAAAAATTTTTTTCTAGAGGGATAACTAAATATAATAGAAATAAAAGGGAACTATACCATCAATTTGTACTAAACCATTTTTATCATAAGCCAACTATTAGGTACATATCAGATAAAAAAGACATAGAAAAATTCAATTCTTTTGAAACTGGTGAGAGACCATATGAAATGTCCGCTAAAGTTTATAAAAACATAGATAATTTTAATAGAATTTCTAAAATAGCTATGATAAAAACCTTAGCCATTGGCTCTGGATTTCTAAAAAGAAGAAGCAACAAATTTAGAGCAGAAGCCAGATATAAAAAGATAGGAGGAAAAGGAAATGCAATAAGACATGCATACAAAATACTTGATAAAAAATTTCCTCCTAGATTGTTAAAATACTATAGAATAGTATTAAGCCGTATTTTAATGGAAGTTAGATTAAATAAAATAATGTATGATAAACAAATATTAAAGGTGATAAACAATAAAGAGTGCAATATACCTAAAGAAATGCCCTTTAATACATCTTTAAACAGGGTCTATTATACTGACGACAACCTTAGAATAAATACGTCCCCAAATAGAAAACATAACTACATTCAAGAATCTAAAATAGGTAAAAATGTAAATGAAAAAAAATGCTTTTCATTTAGAACACTAAATTATATTATAAACAATATAATTTATTTATTAAAATTTAATAAAATATTAATATATATTAGACTCTTAATGAAAAAAAGGAACAAAAGCACCATAGAACAAATACCATATATAGTACTATTTATACCATTCAGTATATTAACCTATATAACAATGATAATTAAAGCACTTATAGAAATATACAAATCATTATTTAGCCCACTTCGATTAATGTATTATGTATATAAACATATAAAACCCATATATGAAGAGTACTTACCTTTAACAAAAGAAGAGAGACTTTCATTCAGGGATAAATTAATAATAATAAACTCTAAAAAAAAAATAAGTGAGATCGATCAAAAATACTACATCCTTCAAAGAGATAGAATTTTAGATATGCTACCTAAAAAACACCATTCTTTATCAATAGTAGAAGACCTAAAGAATGACTACACACTATTAAATATGTATATAAAATCCTCCACAAAGTTTATATTAAGATTAGCAGAAAAACTAGCATACTTAATAGTAAAAACCCCTAGACACTTAATAAATAAAATACCAAAGCTACCAAAAACCATAAACCAAACAATAAGATTTATAACATGGTACACATATAACTACATCACTATAAAAATACCATACGCCATAAAATTTATAATCAGTCACAATATAAAAAAAATAAGAAAAAACCATTACATAGCAACAAAGAAAATATGGCTATTCAGAAGAAAACACCCTGAAATAGACATATTCATCCTAGACCTAAAAATAAACTACCACTATTACAAACTAGTTTTAAAATCAGAAATAAACGAAAACTACACCAAAATAAAAAAAAACATAATAGAGTTAAAAAACAAAAACATAACAAATGAAATAAAAAAACACTATAAAAAAAAAACAAAAAAACTAAATAAAAAATTAAATAAAGTCCCTAAAATAAAACATATAAAATATGAAATAAAAATGGCATTCCGCATTTTCATCTACCTATGCAAAGAAGAATACCACAAATACAAAAACAAAACAAAATAACAAAGAAAACCACACAACAAAACAAAAACAAAACAAATCCCAGAAAGAGAACCAAACCCAAGTAACAACACAGCCAAAACACTAAACGTAATAAAACACAAACAAAATAAACAAAAATACACAAACAACCACCACAAAACAAAACCATAACCACTAAATAAAAAACAAAACAAAACACAACACCACCTTCAACAACCATACCCAGCAAAAAAGCTTGAAGATAAACAAATTCAAACAAAATAAATAAAACTCTAAATAAAAAAAAAAAGAATTACTTGAGCTGTAGCAAAATAAACTCTATAAAACTTAATAAAAAAAAACAAAGACCAAAGCAGATAACCCTCCCCATAAAGACTTGACAGACCAACAACTAAATAACACACTTATACTTTATATATAAACTCACCTACAAAACAAACCCCCTTAAGCCAGAAACAACACCACCCAAAACAACTACCGATAACACTAAAATAGAAGGACACCCCATAAATAAGCCAAAACAACACACCAATACAACCAGACCTAAAGCCAAATCTAATACATCTAGGAGTTTAATTGGAATCGAACCAATGACCATATGCTCTACCACTGAGCTATAAACTCTTTATTTATATTATTATTATGTTGTTTTTTGATGGTTTTGAATAGTGTTATGATTGTTATGATTGTTATAATGTGTGGTGTGTAGTATTGCTTAATGTTTAGGAATTGTTGGTTT